CAATCCGAACCTAGCGCGTAGTTCTTACGAGATAGTTTTTACATCGGTAATTACCTCAGAGATGATTAGACGCGTAGGATGATTGGACGCGTGTAAATCAGGTTGATTAGATGCACCATGTGATTGGATGCAGTCTAGGGTAGGCAGAAGTTAAGACCTATAAATCAATCACTTTCGAATCCTCCCCTCAAGTGAGCAAGTGTTCTCTGCTTCGTTCTCTCCGGTCTCTCCGCTTCGTTTTCTCTTCGCCTCGCGCTCAAGTTACAACAGGTTATGAGCCCAAGCGCCATGTCGTCCAACAACACCTCGGCCAGTGTCTCCATCGATAAGTTCGATGGGGACAACTACTCAACCTGGTGTCGCTACATGCGCGGCGTGTTTCTGACGAAGTCAGTCTGGTACGTCGTGAACCGCGAAACGTCTCCAACCTTCACCGACACGCGAGCTTCCGACGAGTACGTCAAGGCGAGCAACATCGCGTTCGGGTTGATGTTGCTCCACATGGACGCCGACTACCACCATGTGGTCGACAACTGTGAAGAAGCATGGACAGCGTGGTCGCGGTTGAAGATGCTCTATGGTGGGTCGCAGAAGGCGGGACGCATCTACCTCAAGCGCCAGCTGTTCAGCATCAAGATGACGGAAGGTGCCAACGTCTTGCACCATTGCAACGAAGTCTTGAACATCGGCGCCAAGCTCAGCAGCATCGGTGCCAAGATGGAAGACTAAGACATTGCGATCTGCTTGCTGCTCAGTCTCCCGAAGAGTTTCGAGAACGTGGTTCTGAACTTGGAGATGAGCAATGCAGAGCTGCGCACGCAAGATGTGGTCAAGGTGCTGACTAACGAGCACATCAAGCGACAAGGCGAGAAGATGACAACGGCAACGACAACGTTGAAGACTGAAGATGCGACAAAGGCATTCAGTACCGAGCGCAAGCCCTACCAATGCACATACTGCGGCAAGGTGGGGCACACGGCAGAGCGTTGCTGGACGAAGCAAAAGGATGAAAGTCGAGGAGCCCAACGCGGCGGCAATGGTCGTGGACGCGGGGCAAACAATGTCCAGTGGCGACATTATGATGAAGGCAACAGCTACGATCGAGTGGCGTTTGCAGTTTCGTTTGAATGCGGAGTTTCGACGAACAAGAATGGACCAGGAATGTGGGCCGTTGACAGCGGGGCAACACATCACATCTGCCACGACAAGTTCAAGTTTGCAAGCTTGGTCGAAGGCAATGATGGCGAGATCCTGGTGGCTGATGGCAACAAGGCGGCCATCAAAGGTGTGGGGACCATCGTGGAAAAGGTGATTCTGCCAAACGGGGAAGAGCGCGAGATCGAGATCAAGAACGCGCTCTATGTGCCCAGCATGAGCAAAAATCTGCTCTCGGTGCCGCAGATTAACAAGCACGGCAACTTCCAAGTGGTGTTTGACGGGGATACGATGTACGTCGCTCGCAAGGATTCCAATCAAGTGGTGGCATCTGCGGATCTTGTAGACGGACTCTACTGGCTTCGCACGACGCAGCGATCGGCCAATGCGACATCACTCAGCAACGCTGTTGATCTACATGCGCGAATGGGCCATGCTCCAGTCGACGTGCTTCGCAGGATGGTGACAAGCCACATGATCAAGGACGCTCACATCCCTTCCAAGCCGAATGGATCAAGTGTGTGTCGAGGATGCCAAGAAGGGAAGATGGTCCAAAAACCATTCCCGAGCAACCGTGACAAGCGCACCTACAACACCTTCGAGATGCTCCACTTCGACATCTGCGGACCCATGGAAGAAAAATCTCTGGGTGGCAGCAAGTATCTGCTGCTGATCGTGGATGAAGCCAGCGGATGCATGAAGGGTTTTTGTCTGCATTCCAAGTCAGAGAGAGAAGAGTGCATCAAGAAGTACATCACGATGATACAGACGCAGTTCAACAAGAAGGTCAAATTTGTGCGACACGATGGAGCCCGCGAGTTTGCGACGAACTCGCTTCAAGATTTCTACGAAGTCGAAGGCATCGAGCAACAAACCACGGTGCCATACGCACATCAAGCCAATGGAACTGCTGAACGCGCGATTCGAACTATCGTCACCATCGGTCGTAGCATGCTCCATCATGCCAAGTTGGACAAGTGCTTCTGGGCTGAAGCGGCAATGACGGCCGTCTATGTGAAGAACCGTTTGCCGTCACCCAAGATTCCACACAAGACACCGTTCGAGATTGTCTACAATTCTAAGCCAAGTGTCAAGCACATGCGCGTTTTTGGGTGCCAAGCATACATCTTGACCCCCGAAGGAGAAACGACTCAAGTGGGACCCCAAGGCCCGGGCTGGATTGTTTTTGGGCTACGAAGAAGTGTCCAAGGCGTATCGAGTTTATGACATCGAAGCGGGGCAGGTGATGATAAGTCGCGATGTCAACTTCGATGAGTCGGCCTTTGGAATGTCGATGCTGATTTCCGATGACGATGTTGATGGCCTGGACTTCGAATCGATCGATCTTGATGATGAAGAACCGCGTCCGAGACACTTCAAACAAACAGGAAAGCGCAAGGCCCAACCCAGTCACGACAATGACGACGCAAGCATGCCCCGAGCAGTGCGCCAACGACCCGGATTGGAAGAGTCAAGTGCGCCGGATGACCTCTCTTCACGTCGAGCCAACGAAGATGAAGAAAGGAAGTCGGAGGAACAACATGACACACGGACTTCCTCCGCGTTTTGGCATGCGAGTGCAAACGCCGTCGAAGCAGCGGTCGATTTTTCGGAGCCGTCGACATTTGAAGAAGCAGTGTCTGGCCCGGACCAAGTACACTGGCGCAAGGCAATTGATGCGGAGCTCGATTCGATGAAGCTTCGCGGTGTCTTTCGTGCGGCCAAGTTAACCAACGGACAAAGCGCCATTGGCACAAAATGGGTGTTCAAGATCAAGCGCAAGGCAGATGGGTCGATCGAGAAGTACAAGGCACGACTTGTGGCCAAGGGTTTTCGCCAAAAGTATGGCATTGACTACACGGAGACGTTCTCGTCCGTGGTCAAGTATGTGACGCTGCGAATGGTCATCGCCATTACCAAGCACTTTGGATGGCCCCTCAACCAGCTCGATGTGGTGACTGCGTTCCTGTATGGAGTGATGAAGGAGAAGGTGTTCTGCGCTGTTCCGGAATGCGTCAAGATGGAAGGTGATTTTGACTGTCTCGAGCTGATCAAGGCGATCTACGGTCTCAAGCAAGCCTCGCGTGTTTGGAACGAGACTTTCGACGAGTTCATACGCTCGATTGGTTTTCAAGCGTCGGGATTCGATCCATGTCTCTACATCATGACTTAGGAAGGCCATTGTGTTTTTGTGCTGGTCTACGTGGACGATGTCTTGGTGACTGGAAGCTCGCTCGAGATGATTGCGCGCACCAAGAACGACCTCAAGACACGCTTCGAGATGACGGACAGCGGCAAGTGTGCGTTTGTTCTTGGGATCGAGTTATTGGACGGTAAAGATGGCAGCGTGACTATGTGTCAGCGCCGTTATGTCGACGATGTCCTCAAGCGCTTTGGAATGGATGAGTGCAAGGCTGTGGCAAGTCCGGTGGACGTCAGCTCTCGACTGGTTCCGATCAACTCTGCAAGCAAGATGGATGTCCTATTCCGTGAAGCAGTGGGTGCTTTGATGCATCTGACGACTGCAACGCGACCGGGCATCGCCTATGCTGTAAGCTTTGTGTCACGGTTCATGGAGAAACCCCAAGAAGAACACTGGGTTGCAGTCAAGCGCATCTTCCGCTACCTACAAGGCACCAAGATGCATGGAATCTGCTACAAGCCAAGTGCGAAGATCGACTTTCGTGGCTATTCAGATGCAGACTGGGCCGGTGACCTTGCTGATCGCAAATCGACGTCCGGCTACGTCTTCATGCTATTGGGTGCTCCGGTGAGTTGGGGCAGCAAGAAACAGCCAAGTGTGTCACTGTCTACAAGCGAAGCGGAGTACATCGCGCTCAGCCTGGCGATCCAAGAAGGCAAGTGGATCAATCGCTTGCTGTGCCAGATCATGGCGGCTGCAAACGAAGAAGGACCCGAGCTCGTGATCCGTGAAGACAACCAGTCGTGCATCAAGATGACGAAGAATCCGGTCAACCACGGCCGCGCTAAACACATCGACATCAAGTACCATCACATCCATGATGAAGTCAAGCGCGGCGAAGTGAAGCTTGAATACTGCGAGACGACGTTGATGTTGGCGGACATCATGACGAAGGGACTTCACGGACCGCGTCACAAGGACTTGACGGCGGCGCTTGGCGTCCGTGCGTGTTCGGATTGAGGGGGCGTATTGAGGGTTACCGGTACAATCCGAACCTAGCGCGTAGTTCTTACGAGATAGTTTTTACATCGGTAATTACCTCAGAGATGATTAGACGCGTAGGATGATTGGACGCGTGTAAATCAGGTTGATTAGATGCACCATGTGATTGGATGCAGTCTAGGGTAGGCAGAAGTTAAGACCTATAAATCAATCACTTTCGAATCCTCCCTCAAGTGAGAAAGTGTTCTCTGCTTCGTTCTATCCGGTCTCTCCGCTTCGTTTTCTCTTCGCCTCGCGCTCAAGTTATAACAGTTGTTGTTGTTGGTTCGCCACTGAACGTTGTTGGCTCCGCGTCCACGAGCATTGTTGCCGCCGCGTCGAGCTCTGTTGCATTGTAGATCGGAGCGAGGAAAGCGGGGCGAACGGAGCGGAGAGACCGAAGAGAGTAGAGCAGAAAACACTTGCCCAATAGTTGGAAGATTCGAAAGTGATTGATTATCGGGGCTTACTACTTACTACATGATTTATATGTGGTGTACATATAAATCATGTGAAGCGTCTCATCATCCTACGCGTCTAATCAACTATGGTAATTACCGTAAGAACTACGTCGTAAATACTAAGCTGAACAGGCGGTTCGGATTGGATCGGTCGCGGTTACCAATACTGGTAGAAAACCGATGACCGTCAACACGCCCCCTCAATCCAAAGGCTCACGAATCCCGAGAGCCGTCGTCATCTCCTGTTGGCGTGGTCCATGAAGTCCCTTCGTCATGATGTCCGCTAACATCACCGCAGTTTCACAGTACTTGAGCTTCACTTCACCGCGCTTGACCTCATCACGGATGTGATGGTACTTGATATCAATGTGCTTGGCACGGCCGTGGTTGACTGGATTCTTCGTCATCTTGATACATGACTGATTGTCTTCATGAATCATGAGTTCCGGTCCTTCTTCATTGGCAGCCACCACGATCTCACAAAGCAGACGATGAATCCACTTGCCCTCTTGAATCGCCAAGCTGAGTGCGATGTATTCAGCTTCAGTCGTGGACAAAGAAACACTTGGCTGCTTCTTGCTGCCCCAACTCACTGGCGCACCGAGTAGCATGAACGTGTACCCCGATGTTGACTTGCGGTCGGTAAGATCACCAGCCCAATCCGCATCCGAATATCCACGGAAGTCGATCCTTGCACTTGGCTTGTAGCAAATTCCATGCGTCTTGGTGCCTTGTAGGTAGCGAAAGATACGCTTAACTGCAACCCAGTGTTCTTCTTGGGGATTTTCCATGTACCGCGACACATAGCCCACAGCAAACGCAATGTCCGGACGCGTTGCAGTGGTCAGGTGCATCAACGCACCAACAGCTTCGCGAAAAGGAGCATCGACCTTGGTAGTTGCATCACTTGAAACAAGTCGAGAGCTCATGTCGACTGGACTTGCGACTGCCTTGCAATCATCCATGCCAAAGCGCTTGAGGATATCATCGACATACCGACGCTGACATAGTGTCACACTGCCATCTTCACCGTCCAAAAGCTCGATCCCAAGAACAAACGCACACTTGCCGCTGTCCGTCATTTCGAACCGCGTCTTCAGGTCGTTCTTGGTTTGTGCAATCAGCTCGAGTGAGCTTCCAGTCACCAAGACGTCGTCCACGTAGACCAGTATAAACACGCAATGGCCGTCCGAAGTCTTGATGTAGAGACATGGGTCGAAGTCCGATACTTGAAATCCGATGGAGCACACATACTCGTCGAACGTCTCGTTCCACACTCGCGACGCTTGCTTGAGGCCGTAAATTGACTTCACCAATTCCAGGCAGTCGAACGTACTATCCAGTTCGACGCCTTCAGGAATCACGCAGAACACTTGTTCCTTCATGACGCCATACAGGAAAGCTGTCACCACATCAAGCTGGTCGATGGGCCATCCAAAATGCTTGGAAATTGCGATCACCATTCGCAGCGTCACATACTTGACCACAGGCGAAAACGTCTCCGTGTAGTCGATGCCATACTTTTGGCGGAAACCCTTGGCCACAAGTCGTGCCTTGTACTTCTCGATTGACCCATCCGCCTTGCGCTTGATCTTGAACACCCATTTTGTGCCAATGGCGCGTTGTCCGTTGGGCAGCTTGGCTGCACGAAACACACCGCGAAGTCGCATTGACTCGAGCTCTGCATGAATTGCTTTTCTCCAGTGCACTTGGTCAGGGCCGCTTACTGCTGCTTCAAATGTTGAGGGTTCTGATAAGTCCACTGCTGCTTCAACGGCATTTGCACTCGCACGCCAAAACACAGGCGGTGTTGAATCACCAGAATCCTTCGTTTCTTCGTCTTCTTCTTGTCGTGACGAGTTGTTTTCCGGCGCGCTTGACTCTTCTAGTCCTGGTCGTTGACGCACTGCACGCGGTCGTGGAGCTGCTGTATCTTCATCATTGAGTCGGTTCTTGCGCTTGCCTGTTTGCTTGTACTCCATTTGACGCAGCTCTTCGTCATCAAGATCCAGCAATTCGAAGTCCAGGTCATCGACATCTTCATCAGTGATCGGCAGTTGAAGTCCAAAGGTGGACTCGTCGAAGTTGACATCGCGGCTGATAACCACCTGCCCCGCCTCGATGTCATAAACACGATATGCCTTCGAAACTTCTTCGTAGCCCACGAATATGCCAGCGCGAGCCTTTGGATCCCACTTGAGTCGATTCTCTTTAGGCGTCAGTATGTATGTCTGACACCCGAATGTTCGCATGTGCTTGACGCTTGGTTTCAAGTTGTAGACGATCTCAAACGGGGTCTTGTGCACGACTTTAGGTGACGGCAGTCGATTCTTGACGTAGATGGCCGTCATCGCTGCTTCGGCCCAGAAACACCTGTCCAGTTTGGCATGATGAAGCATGCTGCGGCCGATCGTAACAGTAGTCCTAATGGCACGCTCTGCTGTTCCGTTTGTTTGATGTGCATACGGCACCGTTGTCTGCTGTTCAATGCCTTCGTCTTCGTAGAACAGTTGAAGCGAGTTGGTTGCGAGCTCGCAAGCTCCGTCGTGTCGCACGAACTTGACCTTCTAACAGAATTGCGTCTGTACCATGGTGATATATTTCCGGATGTAGTCTTCACTCTCGGACTTCACTCGTAGACAAAAGCCCTTCATGCATCCACTGGCTTCGTCGATGATCAGCAGCAAATATTTGCTGCCACCGAGCGAATCCTTTTCCATGGGCCCGCAGATGTCCAGATGAAGTAGCTCAAACGTATCGTAGCTGCGCTTGTCTCGGTTGCTTGGAAATGGTTTTTGGACCATTTTCCCTTGTTGACATCCTCGACATGTAGTTGCTCCACCCGACTTGAGAGGGACTCGCACATCCTTGATCATGTTGGTCGCGATCATCTTGCGAAGTACATCGACTGGAGCATGACCCATTCTCGCATGTAGATCGGCACAACTGGTTCCACTTGTTGTCACATTTGCTGATCGTTGAGTCGTCCGAAGCCAGTAGAGTCCATCCACGAGATCCGCTGTCGCCACCACTTGCTGTGAGTTCTTGAGAGTCACATACATCTTGGACCCGTCAAACACGACTTGAAACTTGCCATGGCTGTTAATCTGTAGCACCGAGAGCAGGTTCTTGCTCATACTTGGAACATATAGCGCGTTCTTGATTTCGATCTCACGCTCTTCACCGTTGGGCAGAACCACCTTTTCCATGATGGTTCCCACACCCTTGATGGCCACCTTGTTGCCATCAGCCACCAAGAGTTCGCCCTCATTGCGCTCTGCCAAACTTGCGAACTTGGTCTTGTCGTGGAAAATGTGGTGCGTTGCACCACTGTCGACGGCCCACATTCCAGACACGTCCTTGCTCGTCGAAACTCCACATTCGAACGAGAATGCAAACGCCACTCGATCGTAGCCATTGCCTTCATCATGATGTCCCCACTGGACATTGTTAGCCCCCGCGTCCACGACCATTGCCGCCGCGTCGGGCTCCCCGACCTTCGTTTCTCTGCTTTGTCCAGCAACGATCCACCGTATGTCCCACCTTGCCACAATACGTGCATTGGTAGGGCTCACGCTCGGCGCTGAATGCCTTGCTTGCATCTTCAGCCTTCACCGTAGTCGCTGTCGTTGTCCCTTTTGCTCCTTGACGCTTGGCATGCTCATTCGTCAGGACTCTCACCACATCTTGAGTGCGAAGCTCGGTGCTGCTCATTTCCATGTTGAGCACCACATTTTCGTAGCTCTTCGGAAGACTGAGTAGCAGACAAATTGCAACGTCTTCGTCTTCCATCTTCGCACCGATGCCGCTAAGCTTGGCGGAGATGTTGAGGACCTCGTTGCAGTGATGCATGACGTTCGCGCCTTCAGCCATCTTGGTGCTGAAAAGTTGTCGCTTGAGGTAGATGCGTCCTGCCTTCTGCGACCCACCGTACAGCGTCTTCAGACTTGTCCACGCAACCCAGGCTTCCTCGCAGTTGTCCAGCACATGATGGTAGTCCGCGTTTATGTGCAGCAGCATCATACCAAACGCGACGTTGCTTGCCTTGACGTAGTCATCGGACGCTCGCGGGTCGGTGAAAGTCGGAGTCACTTCACGGTTGACGACGTGCCAGACGGACTGCGTCAAAAACACACCGCGCATGTACCGGCTCCACGTTGCGTAATTGTCTCCGTTGAACTTGTCAATGGAGGCGTTGCTGGTGGACGACATGGCGCTTGGGCTCATAACCTGTTGCATTGTAGATCGGAGCGAGGAAAGCGGAGCGAACGGAGCGGAGAGACCGAAGAGAGTAGAGCAGAAAACACTTGCCCAATAGTTGGAAGATTCGAAAGTGATTGATTATCGGGGCTTACTACTTACTACATGATTTATATGTGGTGTACATATAAATCATGTGAAGCGTCTCATCATCCTACGCGTCTAATCAACTATGGTAATTACCGTAAGAACTACGTCGTAAATACTAAGCTGAACAGACGGTTCGGATTGGATCGGTCGCGGTTACCAATACTGGTAGAAAACCGATGACCGTCAACACGCCCCTCAATCCAAAGGCTCACGAATCCCGAGAGCCGTCGTCATCTCCTGTTGGCGTGGTCCATGAAGTCCCTTCGTCATGATGTCCGCTAACATCACCGCAGTTTCACAGTACTTGAGCTTCACTTCACCGCGCTTGACCTCATCACGGATGTGATGGTACTTGATATCAATGTGCTTGGCACGGCCGTGGTTGACCGGGTTCTTCGTCATCTTGATACATGACTGATTGTCTTCATGAATCATGAGTTCCGGTCCTTCTTCATTGGCAGCCATCACGATCTCACAAAGCAGACGATGAATCCACTTGCCCTCTTGAATCGCCAAGCTGAGTGCGATGTATTCAGCTTCAGTCGTGGACAAAGAAACACTTGGCTGCTTCTTGCTGCCCCAACTCACTGGCGCACCGAGTAGCATGAACGTGTACCCCGATGTTGACTTGCGGTCGGTAAGATCACCAGCCCAATCCGCATCCGAATATCCACGGAAGTCGATCCTTGCACTTGGCTTGTAGCAAATTCCATGCGTCTTGGTGCCTTGTAGGTAGCGAAAGATACGCTTAACTGCAACCCAGTGTTCTTCTTGGGGATTTTCCATGTACCGCGACACATAGCCCACAGCAAACGCAATGTCCGGACGCGTTGCAGTGGTCAGGTGCATCAACGCACCAACAGCTTCGCGAAAAGGAGCATCGACCTTGGTAGTTGCATCACTTGAAACAAGTCGAGAGCTCATGTCGACTGGACTTGCGACTGCCTTGCAATCATCCATGCCAAAGCGCTTGAGGATATCATCGACATACCGACGCTGACATAGTGTCACACTGCCATCTTCACCGTCCAAAAGCTCGATCCCAAGAACAAACGCACACTTGCCGCTGTCCGTCATCTCGAACCGCGTCTTCAGGTCGTTCTTGGTTTGTGCAATCAGCTCGAGCGAGCTTCCAGTCACCAAGACGTCGTCCACGTAGACCAGTATAAACACGCAATGGCCGTCCGAAGTCTTGATGTAGAGACATGGGTCGAAGTCCGATACTTGAAATCCGATGGAGCACACATACTCGTCGAACGTCTCGTTCCACACTCGCGACGCTTGCTTGAGGCCGTAAATTGACTTCACCAATTCCAGGCAGTCGAACGTACTATCCAGTTCGACGCCTTCAGGAATCACGCAGAACACTTGTTACTTCATGACGCCATACAGGAACGCAGTCACCACATCAAGCTGGTCGATGGGCCATCCAAAATGCTTGGAAATTGCGATCACCAGTCGCAGCGTCACATACTTGACCACAGGCGAAAACGTCTCCGTGTAGTCGATGCCATACTTTTGGCGGAAACCCTTGGCCACAAGTCGTGCCTTGTACTTCTCGATTGACCCATCCGCCTTGCGCTTGATCTTGAACACCCATTTTGTGCCAATGGCGCGTTGTCCGTTGGGCAGCTTGGCTGCACGAAACACACCGCGAAGTCGCATTGACTCGAGCTCTGCATGAATTGCTTTTCTCCAGTGCACTTGGTAAGGGCCGCTTACTGCTGCTTCAAATGTTGAGGGCTCTGATAAGTTTGCTGCTGTTTCAACGGCATTTGCACTCGCAAGCCAAAACACAGGCGGTGTTGAATCACCAGAATCCTTCGTTTCTTCGTCTTCTTCTTGGCGTGACGAGTTGTTTTCCGGCGCGCTTGACTCTTCTAGTCCTGGTCATTGACGCACTGCACGCGGTCGTGGAGCTGCTGTATCTTCATCATTGAGTCGGTTCTTGCGCTTGCCTGTTTGCTTGTACTCCATTTGACGCAGCTCTTCGTCATCAAGATCCAGCAATTCGAAGTCCAGGTCATCGACATCTTCATCAGTGATCGGCAGTTGAAGTCCAAAGGTGGACTCGTCGAAGTTGACATCGCGGCTGATAACCACCTGCCCGCCTCGATGTCATAAACACGATATGCCTTCGAAACTTCTTCGTAGCCCACGAATATGCCAGCGCGAGCCTTTGGATCCCACTTGAGTCGATTCTCTTTAGGCGTCAGTATGTATGTCTGACACCCGAATGTTCGCATGTGCTTGACGCTTGGTTTCAAGTTGTAGACGATCTCAAACGGGGTCTTGTGCACGACTTTAGGTGACGGCAGTCGATTCTTGACGTAGATGGCCGTCATCGCTGCTTCGGCCCAGAAACACTTGTCCAGTTTGGCATGATGAAGCATGCTGCGGCCGATCGTAACAGTAGTCCTAATGGCACGCTCTGCTGTTCCGTTGGTTTGATGCGCGTACGGGACCGTGGTCTGCTGCTCAATACCTTGGTCTTGGTAGAACGCCTTGAGAGAGTTGGTTGCAAACTCTCAAGCTCCATCGTGACGCACGAACTTGACCTTCTAACAGAATTGCGTCTGTACCATGGTGATATATTTCCGGATGTAGTCTTCACTCTCGGACTTCACTCGTAGACAAAAGCCCTTCATGCATCCACTGGCTTCGTCGATGATCAGCAGCAAATATTTGCTGCCACCGAGCGAATCCTTTTCCATGGGCCCGCAGATGTCCAGATGAAGTAGCTCAAACGTATCGTAGCTGCGCTTGTCTCGGTTGCTTGGAAATGGTTTTTGGACCATTTTCCCTTGTTGACATCCTCGACATGTAGTTGCTCCACCCGACTTGAGAGGGACTCGCACATCCTTGATCATGTTGGTCGCGATCATCTTGCGAAGTACATCGACTGGAGCATGACCCATTCTCGCATGTAGATCGGCACAACTGGTTCCACTTGTTGTCACATTTGCTGATCGTTGAGTCGTCCGAAGCCAGTAGAGTCCATCCACGAGATCCGCTGTCGCCACCACTTGCTGTGAGTTCTTGAGAGTCACATACATCTTGGACCCGTCAAACACGACTTGAAACTTGCCATGGCTGTTAATCTGTAGCACCGAGAGCAGGTTCTTGCTCATACTTGGAACATATAGCGCGTTCTTGATTTCGATCTCACGCTCTTCACCATTTGGCAAAACCACCTTCTCAATGATGGTTCCGACACCCTTGATGGCCACCTTGTTGCCATCAGCAACCAAAATTTCGCCCTCATTGCGCTCTGCCAAACTTGCGAACTTGGTCTTGTCGTGGAAAATGTGGTGCGTTGCACCACTGTCGACGGCCCACATTCCAGACACGTCCTTGCTCGTCGAAACTCCACATTCGAACGAGAATGCAAACGCCACTCGATCGTAGCCATTGCCTTCATCATGATGTCCCCACTGGACATTGTTAGCCCCGCGTCCACGACCATTGCCGCCGCGTCGGGCTCCCCTGACCTTCGTTTCTCTGCTTTGTCCAGCAACGATCCACCGTATGTCCCACCTTGCCACAATACGTGCATTGGTAGGGCTCACGCTCGGCGCTGAATGCCTTGCTTGCATCTTCAGCCTTCACCGTAGTCGCTGTCGTTGTCCCTTTTTTCTCCTTGACGCTTGGCATGCTCATTCATCAGGACTCTCACCACATCTTGGTTACGAAGCTCGGCGCTGCTCATTTCCATGTTGAGCACCACATTTTCGTAGCTCTTCGGAAGACTGAGTAGCAGACAAATTGCAACGTCTTCGTCTTCCATCTTCGCACCGATGCCGCTAAGCTTGGCGGAGATGTTGAGGACCTCGTTGCAGTGATGCATGACGTTCGCGCCTTCAGCCATCTTGGTGCTGAAAAGTTGTCGCTTGAGGTAGATGCGTCCTGCCTTCTGCGACCCACCGTACAGCGTCTTCAGACTTGTCCACGCAACCCAGGCTTCCTCGCAGTTGTCCAGCACATGATGGTAGTCCGCGTTTATGTGCAGCAGCATCATACCAAACGCGACGTTGCTTGCCTTGACGTAGTCATCGGACGCTCGCGGGTCGGTGAAAGTCGGAGTCACTTCACGGTTGACGACGTGCCAGACGGACTGCGTCAAAAACACACCGCGCATGTACCGGCTCCACGTTGCGTAATTGTCTCCGTTGAACTTGTCAATGGAGGCGTTGCTGGTGGACGACATGGCGCTTGGGCTCATAACCTGTTGCATTGTAGATCGGAGCGAGGAAAGCGGAGCGAACGGAGCGGAGAGACCGAAGAGAGTAGAGCAGAAAACACTTGCCCAATAGTTGGAAGATTCGAAAGTGATTGATTATCGGGGCTTACTACTTACTACATGATTTATATGTGGTGTACATATAAATCATGTGAAGCGTCTCATCATCCTACGCGTCTAATCAACTATGGTAATTACCGTAAGAACTACGTCGTAAATACTAAGCTGAACAGACGGTTCGGATTGGATCGGTCGCGGTTACCAATACTGGTAGAAAACCGATGACCGTCAACACGCCCCCTCAATCCAAAGGCTCACGAATCCCGAGAGCCGTCGTCATCTCCTGTTGGCGTGGTCCATGAAGTCCCTTCGTCATGATGTCCGCTAACATCACCGCAGTTTCACAGTACTTGAGCTTCACTTCACCGCGCTTGACCTCATCACGGATGTGATGGTACTTGATATCAATGTGCTTGGCACGGCCGTGGTTGACCGGGTTCTTCGTCATCTTGATACATGACTGATTGTCTTCATGAATCATGAGTTCCGGTCCTTCTTCATTGGCAGCCATCACGATCTCACAAAGCAGACGATGAATCCACTTGCCCTCTTGAATCGCCAAGCTGAGTGCGATGTATTCAGCTTCAGTCGTGGACAAAGAAACACTTGGCTGCTTCTTGCTGCCCCAACTCACTGGCGCACCGAGTAGCATGAACGTGTACCCCGATGTTGACTTGCGGTCGGTAAGATCACCAGCCCAATCCGCATCCGAATATCCACGGAAGTCGATCCTTGCACTTGGCTTGTAGCAAATTCCATGCGTCTTGGTGCCTTGTAGGTAGCGAAAGATACGCTTAACTGCAACCCAGTGTTCTTCTTGGGGATTTTCCATGTACCGCGACACATAGCCCACAGCAAACGCAATGTCCGGACGCGTTGCAGTGGTCAGGTGCATCAACGCACCAACAGCTTCGCGAAAAGGAGCATCGACCTTGGTAGTTGCATCACTTGAAACAAGTCGAGAGCTCATGTCGACTGGACTTGCGACTGCCTTGCAATCATCCATGCCAAAGCGCTTGAGGATATCATCGACATACCGACGCTGACATAGTGTCACACTGCCATCTTCACCGTCCAAAAGCTCGATCCCAAGAACAAACGCACACTTGCCGCTGTCCGTCATCTCGAACCGCGTCTTCAGGTCGTTCTTGGTTTGTGCAATCAGCTCGAGCGAGCTTCCAGTCACCAAGACGTCGTCCACGTAGACCAGTATAAACACGCAATGGCCGTCCGAAGTCTTGATGTAGAGACATGGGTCGAAGTCCGATACTTGAAATCCGATGGAGCACACATACTCGTCGAACGTCTCGTTCCACACTCGCGACGCTTGCTTGAGGCCGTAAATTGACTTCACCAATTCCAGGCAGTCGAACGTACTATCCAGTTCGACGCCTTCAGGAATCACGCAGAACACTTGTTACTTCATGACGCCATACAGGAACGCAGTCACCACATCAAGCTGGTCGATGGGCCATCCAAAATGCTTGGAAATTGCGATCACCAGTCGCAGCGTCACATACTTGACCACAGGCGAAAACGTCTCCGTGTAGTCGATGCCATACTTTTGGCGGAAACCCTTGGCCACAAGTCGTGCCTTGTACTTCTCGATTGACCCATCCGCCTTGCGCTTGATCTTGAACACCCATTTTGTGCCAATGGCGCGTTGTCCGTTGGGCAGCTTGGCTGCACGAAACACACCGCGAAGGCCCATTGACTCGAGCTCTGCATGAATTGCTTTTCTCCAGTGCACTTGGTAAGGGCCGCTTACTGCTGCTTCAAATGTTGAGGGCTCTGATAAGTTTGCTGCTGTTTCAACGGCATTTGCACTCGCAAGCCAAAACACAGGCGGTGTTGAATCACCAGAATCCTTCGTTTCTTCGTCTTCTTCTTGGCGTGACGAGTTGTTTTCCGGCGCGCTTGACTCTTCTAGTCCTGGTCATTGACGCACTGCACGCGGTCGTGGAGCTGCTGTATCTTCATCATTGAGTCGGTTCTTGCGCTTGCCTGTTTGCTTGTACTCCATTTGACGCAGCTCTTCGTCATCAAGATCCAGCAATTCGAAGTCCAGGTCATCGACATCTTCATCAGTGATCGGCAGTTGAAGTCCAAAGGTGGACTCGTCGAAGTTGACATCGCGGCTGATAACCACCTGCCCCGCCTCGATGTCATAAACACGATATGCCTTCGAAACTTCTTCGTAGCCCACGAATATGCCATCGCGAGCCTTTGGATCCCACTTGAGTCGATTCTCTTTAGGCGTCAGTATGTATGTCTGACACCCGAATGTTCGCATGTGCTTGACGCTTGGTTTCAAGTTGTAGACGATCTCAAACGGGGTCTTGTGCACGACTTTAGGTGACGGCAGTCGATTCTTGACGTAGATGGCCGTCATCGCTGCTTCGGCCCAGAAACACTTGTCCAGTTTGGCATGATGAAGCATGCTGCGGCCGATCGTGACAATAGTCCTAATGGCACGCTCTGCTGTTCCGTTTGTTTGATGTGCATACGGCACCGTTGTCTGCTGTTCAATGCCTTCGTCTTCGTAGAACAGTTGAAGCGAGTTGGTTGCAAACTCGCGAGCTCCGTCGTGTCGCACGAACTTGACCTTCTTACAGAATTGCGTCTGTACCATGGTGATATATTTCCGGATGTAGTCTTCACTCTCGGACTTCACTCGTAGACAAAAGCCCTTCATGCCTCCACTGGCTTCGTCGATGATCAGTAGCAGATATTTGCTGCCACCGAGCGAATCCTTTTCCATGGGCCCGCAGATGTCCAGATGAAGTAGCTCAAACGTATCGTAGCTGCGCTTGTCTCGGTTGCTTGGAAATGGTTTTTGGACCATTTTCCCTTGTTGACATCCTCGACATGTAGTTGCTCCACCCGACTTGAGAGGGACTCGCACATCCTTGATCATGTTGGTCGCGATCATCTTGCGAAGTACATCGACTGGAGCATGACCCATTCTCGCATGTAGATCGGCACAACTGGTTCCACTTGTTGTCACATTTGCTGATCGTTGAGTCGTCCGAAGCCAGTAGAGTCCATCCACGAGATCCGCTGTCGCCACCACTTGCTGTGAGTTCTTGAGAGTCACATACATCTTGGACCCGTCAAACACGACTTGAAACTTGCCATGGCTGTTAATCTGTAGCACCGAGAGCAGGTTCTTGCTCATACTTGGAACATATAGCGCGTTCTTGATTTCGATCTCACGCTCTTCACCGTTGGGCAGAACCACCTTTTCCATGATGGTTCCCACACCCTTGATGGCCACCTTGTTGCCATCAGCCACCAAGAGTTCGCCCTCATTGCGCTCTGCCAAACTTGCGAACTTGGTCTTGTCGTGGAAAATGTGGTGCGTTGCACCACTGTCGACGGCCCACATTCCAGACACGTCCTTGCTCGTCGAAACTCCACATTCGAACGAGAATGCAAACGCCACTCGATCGTAGCCATTGCCTTCATCATGATGTCCCCACTGGACATTGTTAGCCCCGCGTCCACGACCATTGCCGCCGCGTCGGGCTCCCCGACCTTCGTTTCTCTGCTTTGTCCAGCAACGATCCACCGTATGTCCCACCTTGCCACAATACGTGCATTGGTAGGGCTCACGCTCGGCGCTGAATGCCTTGCTTGCATCTTCAGCCTTCACCGTAGTCGCTGTCGTTGTCCCTTTTTCTCCTTGACGCTTGGCATGCTCATTCGTCAGGACTCTCACCACATCTTGGTTACGAAGCTCGGCGCTGCTCATTTCCATGTTGAGCACCACATTTTCGTAGCTCTTCGGAAGACTGAGTAGCAGACAAATTGCAACGTCTTCGTCTTCCATCTTCGCACCGATGCCGCTAAGCTTGGCGGAGATGTTGAGGACCTCGTTGCAGTGATGCATGACGTTCGCGCCTTCAGCCATCTTGGTGCTGAAAAGTTGTCGCTTGAGGTAGATGCGTCCTGCCTTCTGCGACCCACCGTACAGCGTCTTCAGACTTGTCCACGCAACCCGGGCTTCCTCGCAGTTGTCCAGCACATGATGGTAGTCCGCGTTTATGTGCAGCAGCATCATACCAAACGCGACGTTGCTTGCCTTGACGTAGTCATCGGACGCTCGCGGGTCGGTGAAAGTCGGAGTCACTTCACGGTTGACGACGTGCCAGACGGACTGCGTCAAAAACACACCGCGCATGTACCGGCTCCACGTTGCGTAATTGTCTCCGTTGAACTTGTCAATGGAGGCGTTGCTGGTGGACGACATGGCGCTTGGGCTCATAACCTGTTGCATTGTAGATCGGAGCGAGGAAAGCGGAGCGAACGGAGCGGAGAGACCGAAGAGAGTAGAGCAGAAAACACTTGCCCAATAGTTGGAAGATTCGAAAGTGATTGATTATCGGGGCTTACTACTTACTACATGATTTATATGTGGTGCACATATAAATCATGTGAAGCGTCTCATCATCCTACGCGTCTAATCAACTATGGTAATTACCGTAAGAACTACGTCGTAAATACTAAGCTGAACAGGCGGTTCGGATTGGATCGGTCACGGTTACCAATACTGGTAGAAAACCGATGACCGTCAACAAGCTCCACCTTGATTTTCGTCCTTCTGCTTGGTCCAGCACCGCTCCGCCATGTGCCCCAATTTTCCGCAGTATGTACACGGGCGAGGTTCACGCTCGGCACTGAACGCCTTCGCCGCGTCTTCAGTCTTCACCGATGTCGTCTTGTCACCTTGCCTCTTGATGTGCTCATTTGTGAGTACTCTCACGACGTCTCGCGATCGCAGTTCCGCGCTGCTCATCTCCAAGTTGAGAACGACGTTCTCGTAGCTCTTGGGGAGGCTGCTCAACAAGCAGATCGCCACGTCCTCGTCCTCCATCTTGGCGCCGATGCTGCTGAGATTCGCGCTGATGTTGAGGACTTCGTTGCAATGATGCATCACATTGCCGCCTTCCGACATCTCCATGCTGAACAGCTGGCGCTTCAAGTAGATGCGTCCAGCCTTCTGCGACCCGCCGTATAGCGTCTTCAAACGCGCCCACGCGACCCACGCCTCTTCACAGTCATCAACCACGTGATGATAGTCCGCGCTCATGTGAAGTAACACCAAGCCGAACGCAATGTTGTTCGTCTTGACGTAGTCGTCACTGGCGCGAGGATCGGCGAAGGTGGGGGTGGTCTCCCGGTTCACCACGTGCCACGCCGACTTGGTCAGGAACACGCCACGCATGTAGCGGCTCCACGTCGCGTAGTTGTCGCCGTCGAACTTGTCAATGGAGATCTTGGTGGTGACATCATGAGCAGTGGACATCGTGCTTGGGCTCATAACCTGTTGAAAGGTGTGAAGCTTGACGACCGAAACTGGGAGTGATGCTGGGAGTCCACTCGGAAGACCGGAGAAGACACTTGGGGGGTAGATGGAAGATTGGAAAGTGATTGATTATCGGGGCTTACTACTTACTACATGATTTATATGTGGTGCACATATAAATCATGTGAAGCGTCTCATCATCCTACGCGTCTAATCAACAATGGTAATTACCGTAAGAACTACGCCGTAAATACTAAGCTGAACAGGCGGTTCGGATTGGATCGGTCACGGTTACCAATACTGGTAGAAACCGATGACCGTCATCAGTATCGACTCCAAGTCGCATAGTTGTCTCCACTGAACTTATCAATGGAGACGTTGGATGATGCGTTGGTGGTGGACGACATGGCGCTTGGGCTCATAATCTGTTGCATGGCAGAGAGAGGAGCGAAGGGAGTGGAGAGGCTGAAGAGAGTAGAGCAGAAGCCACTTTCTCACTAGTTGGAAGATTCGAAAGCGATTGATTACTGGGGATTACTAAATGATTTAGATGTGCTGCACATCTAGATCATGTGAAGCGTCTCATCATCCTACGCGTCTAATCAACTATGGGTATTTAACATAAGAAATACGTCGCAAATACTAAGATGAGCAGGCGGTTCGGATTGAACTGGTCACGATTAGCATGACTGGTAGAAAACCGATGACCGTCAACACGCCCTCTCAACCCGAATGCGAGCAGATGCCTAGCGGCGCCGTTAAGTCCTTGTGGCGCGGTCCGTGGAGTTCCTTGGTCATAATGTCTGCCAACATCACCGTCGTGTTGCAGTATTAAAGCTTCACTTCACCCCGCTTGACTTCATCGCGAATGTGATGGTACTGGATATTAATGTGTTTAGCGCGGCCGTGGTTGACCGGATTCTTGGTCGTTTTGATGCAGGACTGGTTGTCTTCATGAATCATGAGTTCCAGTCCTTCTTCATTGGCAGCCATCACGATCTCACAAAGCAGACGATGAATCCACTTGCCCTCTTGAATCGCCAAGCTGAGTGCGATGTATTCAGCTTCAGTCGTGGACAACGAAACACTTGGCTGCTTCTTGCTACCCCAACTCACTGGAGCACCCAATAGCATAAAACGTAGCCAGACGTTGACTTGCGATCAGTGAGGTCGCCGGCCCAGTCTGCGTCCGAAGAACCACGAAAGTCGATCCTTGCACGTGGCTTGCAGCAAATTCCATGCATCTTAGTGCCTTGTAGGTAGCGAAAGATGCGCTTGACCGCAACCCAGTGTTCTTCTTGGGGATTCTTCACGAAGCGCGACACAAAGCTCATAGCATAGGCGATGTCCGGTCGTGTCGCAGTCGTCAGATGCATCAAAGCACGAACAGCTTCGAGGAAGGAAACATCGATCTTGCTCGTAGCGTTGCTTGACATCAGTCGAGAGCTGACATCCACAGGACTCGCCACAGCCTTGCACTCCTCCATGCCAAAGCGCTTGAGGATATCATCTTCATACATAACGGCGCTGACACATATTCACACTGCCATCTTCGCCGTCCAAAAGCTCGATCCCAAGAACAAATGCACATTTGCCGCTGTCTGTCATCTCGAAACGTGTCTTCAGGTCGTTCTTGGTTCGTGTAATTAGCTCGAGAGAGCTTCCAGTCACCAAGACGTCGTCCACGTAGACCAGTACAAACACGCAATGGCCGATCAAAGTCTTGATCTTGAGACATGGGTAGAACTCCGATACTTGAATTCCAATGAAGCACACAAACTCGTCGAACGTCTCGTTCCACACTCGCGACGCTTGCTTGGGGCCACAATTGACTTAATCAATTCCAGGCAATCGAACGTACTGTCAAGTTCAACGCCTTCAGGAATCACGCAGAACACTTGTTCCTTCATGACGCCATGCAGGAAAGCCGTCATCACATCAAGCTGGTCGATGGGCCATCCAAAGGGCTTGGAAATTGCGATCTCCATTCGCAGCGTCACATACTCGAACACGGATGAAAATGTCTCCGTGTAGTCGATGCCATGTTTTTGGCGGAAACCCTTGGCCACAAGTCGTGCCTTGTACTTCTCGATCTACCCAACCGCCTTGCGCTTGATCTTAAACACTCACTTTGTGCCAATGGCGCGTTGTCCGTTGGGCAGATTGGCTGCACAAAACACACCGCGAAGGCGCATTGACTCGAGTTCCGCATAAATGGCATTTGCCAGTGCACTTGGTCAGGGCCGCTCACTGCCACCTCAAATGTGTAGGGCTCCGATAAGTCTGCTTCTGTTTCAACGACATTCGTGTTGTAGCTTGAGCGCGAGGCGAAGAGAAAACGAAGCGGAGAGACCGGAGAGAACGAAGCAGAGAACACTTGCTCACTTGAGGGAGGATTCGAAAGTGATTGATTTATAGGTCTTAACTTCTGCCTACCCTAGACTGCATCCAATCACATGGTGCATCTAATCAACCTGATTTACACGCGTCCAATCATCCTACGCGTCTAATCATCTCTGAGGTAATTACCGATGTAAAAACTATCTCGTAAGAACTACGCGCTAGGTTCGGATTGTACCCGTAACCCTCAATAAACTCGTCGAAGGTCTCGTTCCAAACACGCGAGGCTTGCTTGAGACCGTAGATCGCCTTGATCAGCTCGAGACAGTCGAAATCACCTTCCATCTTGACGCCTTCCGGAACAGCGCAGAACACCTTCTCCTTCATCACTCCATACAGGAACGCAGTCACCACATCGAGCTGGTCGAGGGGCCATCCAAAGTGCTTGTTAATGGCGATGACCATTCGCAGCGTCACATACTTGACCACGGGCGAGAACGTCTCCGTGTAGTCAATGCCATACTTTTGGCGAAAACCCTTGGCCACAAGTCGTGCCTTGTATTTCTCGATCGACCCATCCGCCTTGCGCTTGATCTTGAAGACCCACTTTGTGCCAATGGCGCTTTTTCCGTTGGGTAACTTGGCCGCACGAAAGACACCGCGAAGCTTCATCGAATCGAGCTCCGCATCAATTGCCTTGCGCCAGTGTACTTGGTCCGGGCCAGACACTGCTTCTTCAAATGTCGACGGCTCCGAAAAATCGACCGCTGCTTCGACGGCGTTTGCACTCGCATGCCAAAACGCGGAGGAAGTCGGTGTGTCATGTTGTTCCTCCGACTTCCTTTCTTCATCTTCGTTGGCTCGACGTGAAGAGAGGTCATCCGGCGCACTTGACTCTTCCAATCCGGGTCGTTGGCGCACTGCTCGGGGCATGCTTGCGTCGTCATTGTCGTGACTGGGTTGGGCCTTGCGCTTTCCTGTTTGTTTGAAGTGTCTCGGACGCGGTTCTTCATCATCAAGATCGATCGATTCGAAGTCCAGGCCATCAACATCGTCATCGGAAATCAGCATCGACATTCCAAAGGCCGACTCATCGAAGTTGACATCGCGACTTATCATCACCTGCCCCGCTTCGATGTCGTAAACTCGATACGCCTTGGACACTTCTTCGTAGCCCAAAAACAATCCAGCCCGGGCCTTGGGATCCCACTTGAGTCGTTTCTCCTTCGGGGTCAAGATGTATGCTTGGCACCCAAAAACGCGCATTTGCTTGGCACCCAAAAACGCGCATGTGCTTGACACTTGGCTTAGAATTGTAGACAATCTCGAACGGTGTCTTGTGTGGAATCTTGGGTGACGGCAAACGGTTCTACACATAGACGGCCGTCATTGCCGCTTCAGCCCAGAAGCACTTGTCCAACTTGGCATGATGGAGCATGCTACGACCGATGGTGACGATAGTTCGAATCGCGCGTTCAGCAGTTCCATTGGCTTGATGTGCGTATGGCACCGTGGTTTGTTGCTCGATGCCTTCGACTTCGTAGAAATCTTGGAGCGATTTCGTCGCAAACTCGCGGGCTCCATCGTGTCGCACAAATTTGACCTTCTTGTTGAACTGCGTCTGTATCATCGTGATGTACTTCTTGATGCTCTCTTCGCTCTCTGACTTGGAATGCAGACAAAAACCCTTCATGCATCCGCTGGCTTCATCCATGATCAACAGCAGATATTTGCTGCCACCCAGAGATTTTTATTCCATGGGTCCGCAGATGTCGAAGTGGAGCATCTCGAAGGTGTTGTAGGTGCGCTTGTCACTGTTGCTCGGGAATGGTTTTTGGACCATCTTCCCTTCTTGGCATCCTCGACACACACTTGATCCATTCGGCTTGGAAGGGATGTGAGCGTCCTTGATCATGTGGCTTGTCACCATCTTGCGAAGCATGTCGACTGGAGCATGACCCATTCGCGCATGTAGATCAACAGCGTTGCTGAGTGATGTCGCATTGGCCGATCGCTGCGTCGTGCGAAGCCAGTAGAGTCCGTCTACAAGATCCGCAGCTGCCACCACTTGATTGGAATCCTTGCGAGCGACGTACATCGTATCCCCGTCAAACACCACTTGGAAGTTGCCGTGCTTGTTAATCTGGGGCACCGCGAGCAGATTTTTGCTCATGCTGGGCACATAGAGCGCGTTCTTGATCTCGATCTCGCTCTCTTCCCCGTTTGGCAGAATCACCTTTTCCACGATGGTCCCCACACCTTTGATGGCCGCCTTGTTGCCATCAGCCACCAGGATCTCGCCATCATTGCCTTCGACCAAGCTTGCAAACTTGAACTTGTCGTGGCAGATGTGATGTGTTGCCCCGCTGTCAACGGCCCACATTCCTGGTCCATTCTTGTTCGTCGAAACTCCGCATTCAAACGAAACTGCAAACGCCACTCGATCGTAGCTGTTGCCTTCATCATAATGTCGCCACTGGACATTGTTTGCCCCGCGTCCACGACCATTGCCGCCGCGTTGGGCTCCTCGACTTTCATCCTTTTGCTTCGTCCAGCAACGCTCTGCCGTGTGCCCCACCTTGCCGCAGTATGTGCATTGGTAGGGCTTGCGCTCGGTACTGAATGCCTTTGTCGCATCTTCAGTCTTCACCATTGTCGTTGCCGTTGTCATCTTCTCGCCTTGTCGCTTGATGTGCTCGTTAGTCAGCACCTTGACCACATCTTGCGTGCGCAGCTCTGCATTGCTCATCTCCAAGTTCAGAACCACGTTCTCGAAACTCTTCGGGAGACTGAGCAGCAAGCAGATCGCAATGTCTTCGTCTTCCATCTTGGCACCGATGCTGCTGAGCTTGGCGCCGATGTTCAAGACTTCGTTGCAATGGTGCAAGACGTTGGCACCTTCCGTCATCTTGATGCTGAACAGCTGGCGCTTGAGGTAGATGCGTCCCGCCTTCTGCGACCCACCATAGAGCATCTTCAACCGCGACCACGCTGTCCATGCTTCTTCACAGTTGTCGACCACATGGTGGTAGTCGGCGTCCATGTGGAGCAACATCAACCCGAACGCGATGTTGCTCGCCTTGACGTACTCGTCGGAAGCTCGCGTGTCGGTGAAGGTTGGAGACGTTTCGCGGTTCACGACGTACCAGACTGACTTCGTCAGAAACACGCCGCGCATGTAGCGACACCAGGTTGAGTAGTTGTCCCCATCGAGCTTATCGATGGAGACACTGGCCGAGGTGTTGTTGGACGACATGGCGCTTGGGCTCTATTGAGGGTTACCGGTACAATCCGAACCTAGCGCGTAGTTCTTACGAGATAGTTTTTACATCGGTAACTACCTCAGAGATGATTAGACGCGTAGGATGATTGGACGCGTGTAAATCAGGTTGATTAGATGCACCATGTGATTGGATGCAGTCTAGGGTAGGCAGAAGTTAAGACCTATAAATCAATCACTTTCGAATCCTCCCTCAAGTGAGCAAGTGTTCTCTGCTTCGTTCTCTCCGGTCTCTCCGCTTCGTTTTCTCTTCGCCTCGCGCTCAAGTTACAACAGGTTATGAGCCCAAGCGCCATGTCGTCCAACAACACCTCGGCCAGTGTCTCCATCGATAAGTTCGATGGGGACAACTACTCAACCTGGTGTCGCTACATGCGCGGCGTGTTTCTGACGAAGTCAGTCTGGTACGTCGTGAACCGCGAAACGTCTCCAACCTTCACCGACACGCGAGCTTCCGACGAGTACGTCAAGGCGAGCAACATCGCGTTCGGGTTGATGTTGCTCCACATGGACGCCGACTACCACCATGTGGTCGACAACTGTGAAGAAGCATGGACAGCGTGGTCGCGGTTGAAGATGCTCTATGGTGGGTCGCAGAAGGCGGGACGCATCTACCTCAAGCGCCAGCTGTTCAGCATCAAGATGGCGGAAGGTGCCAACGTCTTGCACCATTGCAACGAAGTCTTGAACATCGGCGCCAAGCTCAGCAGCATCGGTGCCAAGATGGAAGACGAAGACATTGCGATCTGCTTGCTGCTCAGTCTCCCGAAGAGTTTCGAGAACGTGGTTCTGAACTTGGAGATGAGCAATGCAGAGCTGCGCACGCAAGATGTGGTCAAGGTGCTGACTAACGAGCACATCAAGCGACAAGGCGAGAAGATGACAACGGCAACGACAATGGTGAAGACTGAAGATGCGACAAAGGCATTCAGTACCGAGCGCAAGCCCTACCAATGCACATACTGCGGCAAGGTGGGGCACACGGCAGAGCGTTGCTGGACGAAGCAAAAGGATGAAAGTCGAGGAGCCCAACGCGGCGGCAATGGTCGTGGACGCGGGGCAAACAATGTCCAGTGGCGACATTATGATGAAGGCAACAGCTACGATCGAGTGGCGTTTGCAGTTTCGTTCGAATGCGGAGTTTCGACGAACAAGAATGGACCAGGAATGTGGGCCGTTGACAGTGGGGCAACACATCACATCTGCCACGACAAGTTCAAGTTTGCAAGCTTGGTCGAAGGCCATGATGGCGAGATCCTGGTGGCTGATGGCAACAAGGCGGCCATCAAAGGTGTGGGGACCATCGTGGAAAAGGTGATTCTGCCAAACGGGGAAGAGAGCGAGATCGAGATCAAGAACGCGCTCTATGTGCCCAGCATGAGCAAAAATCTGCTCGCGGTGCCCCAGATTAACAAGCACGGCAACTTCCAAGTGGTGTTTGACGGGGATACGATGTACGTCGCTCGCAAGGATTCCAACCAAGTGGTGGCAGCTGCGGATCTTGTAGACGTACTCTACTGGCTTCGCACGACGCAGCGATCGGCCAATGCGACATCACTCAGCAACGCTGTTGATCTACATGCGCGAATGGGTCATGCTCCAGTCGACATGCTTCGCAAGATGGTGACAAGCCACATGATCAAGGACGCTCACATCCCTTCCAAGCCGAATGGATCAAGTGTGTGTCGAGGATGCCAAGAAGGGAAGATGGTCCAAAAACCATTCCCGAGCAACAGTGACAAGCGCACCTACAACACCTTCGAGATGCTCCACTTCGACATCTGCGGACCCATGGAAGAAAAATCTCTGGGTGGCAGCAAATATCTGCTGTTGATCATGGATGAAGCCAGCGGATGCATGAAGGGTTTTTGTCTGCATTCCAAGTCAGAGAGAGAAGAGTGCATCAAGAAGTACATCACGATGATACAGACGCAGTTCAACAAGAAGGTCAAATTTGTGCGACACGATGGAGCCCGCGAGTTTGCGACGAAATCGCTCCAAGATTTCTACGAAGTCGAAGGCATCGAGCAACAAACCACGGTGCCATACGCACATCAAGCCAATGGAACTGCTGAACGCGCGATTCGAACTATCGTCACCATCGGTCGTAGCATGCTCCATCATGCCAAGTTGGACAAGTGCTTCTGGGCTGAAGCGGCAATGACGGCCGTCTATGTGAAGAACCGTTTGCCGTCACCCAAGATTCCACACAAGACACCGTTCGAGATTGTCTACAATTCTAAGCCAAGTGTCAAGCACATGCGCGTTTTTGGGTGCCAAGCATACATCTTGACCCCGAAGGAGAAACGACTCAAGTGGGATCCCAAGGCCCGGGCTGGATTGTTTTTGGGCTACGAAGAAGTGTCCAAGGCGTATCGAGTTTACGACATCGAAGCGGGGCAGGTGATGATAAGTCGCGATGTCAACTTCGATGAGTCGGCCTTTGGAATGTCGATGCTGATTTCCGATGACGATGTTGATGGCCTGGACTTCGAATCGATCGATCTTGATGATGAAGAACCGCGTCCGAGACACTTCAAACAAACAGGAAAGCGCAAGGCCCAACCCAGTCACGACAATGACGACGCAAGCATGCCCCGAGCAGTGCGCCAACGACCCGGATTGGAAGAGTCAAGTGCGCCGGATGACCTCTCTTCACGTCGAGCCAACGAAGATGAAGAAAGGAAGTCGGAGGAACAACATGACACACCGACTTCCTCCGCGTTTTGGCATGCGAGTGCAAACGCCGTCGAAGCAGCGGTCGATTTTTTTCGGAGCCGTCGACATTTGAAGAAGCAGTGTCTGGCCCGGACCAAGTACACTGGCGCAAGGCAATTGATGCGGAGCTCGATTCGATGAAGCTTCGCGGTGTCTTTCGTGCGGCCAAGTTACCCAACGGACAAAGCGCCATTGGCACAAAGTGGGTCTTCAAGATCAAGCGCAAGGCGGATGGGTCGATCGAGAAATACAAGGCACGACTTGTGGCCAAGGGTTTTCGCCAAAAGTATGGCATTGACTACACGGAGACGTTCTCGCCCGTGGTCAAGTATGTGACGCTGCGAATGGTCATCGCCATTACCAAGCACTTTGGATGGCCCCTCGACCAGCTCGATGTGGTGACTGCGTTCCTGTATGGAGTGATGAAGGAGAAGGTGTTCTGCGCTGTTCCAGAAGGCGTCAAGATGGAAGGTGATTTCGACTGTCTCGAGCTGATCAAGGCGATCTACGGTCTCAAGCAAGCCTCGCGTGTTTGGAACGAGACCTTCGACGAGTTCATACGCTCGATTGGTTTTCAAGCGTCGGGATTCGATCCATGTCTCTACATCATGACTTCGGAAGGCCATTGTGTTTTTGTGCTGGTCTACGTGGACGATGTCTTGGTGACTGGAAGCTCGCTCGAGATGATTGCGCGCACCAAGAACGACCTCAAGACACGCTTCGAGATGACGGACAGCGGCAAGTGTGCGTTTGTTCTTGGGATCGAGTTATTGGACGGTGAAGATGGCAGCGTGACTATGTGTCAGCGCCGTTATGTCGACGATATCCTCAAGCGCTTTGGCATGGATGAGTGCAAGGCTGTGGCAAGTCCGGTGGACGTCAGCTCTCGACTGGTTCCGAGCAGCTCTGCAAGCAAGGTGGATGTCCATTCCGTGAAGCAGTGGGTGCTTTGATGCATCTGACGACTGCAACGCGACCGGGCATCGCCTATGCTGTAAGCTTTGTGTCACGGTTCATGGAGAAACCCCAAGAAGAACACTGGGTTGCAGTCAAGCGCATCTTCCGCTACCTACAAGGCACCAAGATGCATGGAATCTGCTACAAGCCAAGTGCGAAGATCGACTTTCGTGGCTATTCAGATGCAGACTGGGCCGGTGACCTTGCTGATCGCAAATCGACGTCCGGCTACGTCTTCATGCTATTGGGTGCTCCGGTGAGTTGGGGCAGCAAGAAACAGCCAAGTGTGTCACTGTCTACAAGCGAAGCGGAGTACATCGCACTCAGCTTGGCGATCCAAGAAGGCAAGTGGATCAATCGCTTGCTGTGCCAGATCATGGCGGCTGCAAACGAAGAAGGACCCGAGCTCGTCATCCGTGAAGACAACCAGTCGTGCATCAAGATGACGAAGAATCCGGTCAACCACGGCCGCGCTAAACACATCGACATCAAGTACCATCACATCCGTGATGAAGTCAAGCGCGGCGAAGTGAAGCTTGAATACTGCGAGACAACGTTGATGTTGGCGGACATCATGACGAAGGGACTTCACGGACCGTGTCACAAGAACTTGACGGCGGCGCTTGGCATCCGTGCGTGTTCGGATTGAGGGGGCGTATTGAGGGTTACCGGTACAATCCGAACCTAGCGCGTAGTTCTTACGAGATAGTTTTTACATCGGTAATTACCTCAGAGATGATTAGACGCGTAGGATGATTGGACGCGTGTAAATCAGGTTGATTAGATGCACCATGTGATTGGATGCAGTCTAGGGTAGGCAGAAGTTAAGACCTATAAATCAATCACTTTCGAATCCTCCCTCAAGTGAGCAAGTGTTCTCTGCTTCGTTCTCTCCGGTCTCTCCGCTTCGTTTTCTCTTCGCCTCGCGCTCAAGTTACAACAGGCTCATAACCTCATAACCTGTTGTAACTTGAGCTAGGCGAAGAGATTATGAGCCTGTTGTAGCTTGAGCGCGAGGCGAAGAGAAAACGAAGCGGAGAGACCGGAGAGAACGAAGCAGAGAACACTTGCTCACTTGAGGGAGGATTCGAAAGTGATTGATTTATAGGTCTTAACTTCTGCCTACCCTAGACTGCATCCAATCACATGGTGCATCTAATCAACCTGATTTACACGCGTCCAATCATCCTACGCGTCTAATCATCTCTGAGGTAATTACCGATGTAATAACTATCTCGTAAGAACTACGCGCTAGGTTCGGATTGTACCGGTAACCCTCAATAATTCGCACTCGCATGCCAAAACACAGGCGGAATTGATTCATCAGAATCCTTCCTTTCTTCGTCTTCTTCTTGGCGTGACAAGTTGTTGTCCGGCGTGGTTGACTCTTCTAGTCCAGGTCTTTGACGCACTGCACGCGGTCGTGGAGCTGCTGTATCTTCATCATTGAGTCGGTTCTTGCGCTTGCCTGTTTGCTTGTACTCCATTTGACGCAGCTCTTCGTCATCAAGATCCAGCAATTCGAAGTCCAGGTCATCGACATCTTCATCAGTGATCGGCAGTTGAAGTCCAAAGGTGGACTCGTTGAAGTTGACATCGCGGCTGATAACCACCTGCCCCGCCTCAATGTCAAATACACGATATGCCTTGGACACTTCTTCGTAGCCCACGAATATGCCAGCGCGAGCCTTGGGATCCCACTTGAGTCGCTTCTCCTTCGGAGTCAGTATATATGTCTGACAGCCGAATACTCGCATGTGCTTGAAACTTCGCTTGGAGTTGTACACGATCTCAAACGGGGTCTTATGCACATTTTTGGTGACGGTAGGCGATTCTTGACGTAGATGACCGTCATTGCTAATTCAGCCCAGAAGCACTTGTCCAGTTTGGCATGGTGAAGCATGCTGCGGCCGATCGTAACAGTAGTCCTAATGGCACGCTCTGCTGTTCCGTTGTTTTGATGCGCATATGTCACCGTTGTTTGCTGTTCAATGCCTTCATCTTTGTAGAACATTTGAAGCGAGTTGGTTGCGAGCTCGCAAGCTCCGTCGTGTCGCACAAACTTGACCTTCTTACTGTTATAACTTGAGCGCGAGGCGTAGAGAAAACGAAGCGGAGAGACCGGAGAGAACGAAGCAGAGAACACTTGCTCACTTGAGGGAGGATTCGAAAGTGATTGATTTATAGGTCTTAACTTCTGCCTACCCTAGACTGCATCCAATCACATGGTGCATCTAATCAACCTGATTTACACGCGTCCAATCATCCTACGCGTCTAATCATCTCTGAGGTAATTACCGATGTAAAAACTATCTCGTAAGAACTACGCGCTAGGTTCGGATTGTATCGGTAACCCTCAATACGCCCCCTCAATCCGAACACGCACGGACGCCAAGCGCCGCCGTCAAGTCGTTGTGACGCGGTCCGTGAAGTCCCTTCGTCATGATGTCCGCCAACATCAACGTCGTCTCGCAGTATTCAAGCTTCACTTCGCCGCGCTTGACTTCATCACGGATGTGATGGTACTTGATGTCGATGTGTTTAGCGCGGCCGTGGTTGACCGGATTCTTCGTCATCTTGATGCACGACTGGTTGTCTTCACGGATGACGAGCTCGGGTCCTTCTTCGTTTGCAGCCGCCATGATCTGGCACAGCAAGCGATTGATCCACTTGCCTTCTTGGATCGCCAGGCTGAGCGCGATGTACTCCGCTTCGCTTGTAGACAGTGACACACTTGGCTGTTTCTTGCTGCCCCAACTCACCGGAGCACCCAATAGCATGAAGACGTAGCCGGACGTCGATTTGCGATCAGCAAGGTCACCGGCCCAGTCTGCATCTGAATAGCCACGAAAGTCGATCTTCGCACTTGGCTTGTAGCAGATTCCATGCATCTTGGTGCCTTGTAGGTAGCGGAAGATGCGCTTGACTGCAACCCAGTGTTCTTCTTGGGGTTTCTCCATGAACCGTGACACAAAGCTTACAGCATAGGCGATGCCCGGTCGCGTTGCAGTCGTCAGATGCATCAAAGCACCCACTGCTTCACGGAATAGGACATCCATCTTGCTTGCAGAGTTGCTTGGAACCAGTCGAGAGCTGAAGTCCACCGGACTTGCCACAGCCTTGCACTCATCCATTCCAAAGCGCTTGAGGACATCGTCGACATAACGGCGCTGACACATAGTCACGCTGCCATCTTCACCGTCCAATAACTCGATCCCAAGAACAAACGCACACTTGCCGCTGTCCGTCATCTCGAAGCGTGTCTTGAGGTCGTTCTTGGTGCGCGCAATCATCTCGAGCGAGCTTCCAGTCACCAAGACATCGTCCACGTAGACCAGCACAAAAACACAATGGCCTTCCTAAGTCATGATGTAGAGACATGGATCGAATCCCGACGCTTGAAAACCAATCGAGCGTATGAACTCGTCGAAGGTCTCGTTCCAAACACGCGAGGCTTGCTTGAGACCGTAGATCGCCTTGATCAGCTCGAGACAGTCGAAATCACCTTCCATCTTGACGCCTTCCGGAACAGCGCAGAACACCTTCTCCTTCATCACTCCATACAGGAACGCAGTCACCACATCGAGCTGGTCGAGGGGCCATCCAAAGTGCTTGGTAATGGCGATGACCATTCGCAGCGTCACATACTTGACCACGGGCGAGAACGTCTCCGTGTAGTCGATGCCATACTTTTGGCGAAAACCCTTGGCCACAAGTCGTGCCTTGTATTTCTCGATCGACCCATCCGCCTTGCGCTTGATCTTGAAGACCCACTTTGTGCCAATGGCGCTTTGTTCGTTGGGTAACTTGGCCGCACGAAAGACACCGCGAAGCTTCATCGAATCGAGCTCCGCATCAATTGCCTTGCGCCAGTGTACTTGGTCCGGGCCAGACACTGCTTCTTCAAATGTCGACGGCTCCGAAAAATCGACCGCTGCTTCGACGGCGTTTGCACTCGCATGCCAAAACGCGGAGGAAGTCGGTGTGTCATGTTGTTCCTCCGACTTCCTTTCTTCATCTTCGTTGGCTCGACGTGAAGAGAGGTCATCCGGCGCACTTGACTCTTCCAATCCGGGTCGTTGGCGCACTGCTCGGGGCATGCTTGCGTCGTCATTGTCGTGACTGGGTTGGGCCTTGCGCTTTCCTGTTTGTTTGAAGTGTCTCGGACGCGGTTCTTCATCATCAAGATCGATAGATTCGAAGTCCAGGCCATCAACATCGTCATCGGAAATCAGCATCGACATTCCAAAGGCCGACTCATCGAAGTTGACATCGCGACTTATCATCACCTGCCCCGCTTCGATGTCGTAAACTCGATACGCCTTGGACACTTCTTCGTAGCCCAAAAACAATCCAGCCCGGGCCTTGGGATCCCACTTGAGTCGTTTCTCCTTCGGGGTCAAGATGTATGCTTGGCACCCAAAACCCGCATTTGCTTGGCACCCAAAAACGCGCATGTGCTTGACACTTGGCTTAGAATTGTAGACAATCTCGAACGGTGTCTTGTGTGGAATCTTGGGTGACGGCAAACGGTTCTTCACATAGACGGCCGTCATTGCCGCTTCAGCCCAGAAGCACTTGTCCAACTTGGCATGATGGAGCATGCTACGACCGATGGTGACGATAGTTCGAATCGCGCGTTCAGCAGTTCCATTGGCTTGATGTGCGTATGGCACCGTGGTTTGTTGCTCGATGCCTTCGACTTCGTAGAAATCTTGAAGCGAGTTCGTCGCAAACTCGCGGGCTCCATCGTGTCGCACAAATTTGACCTTCTTGTTGAACTGCGTCTGTATCATCGTGATGTACTTCTTGATGCACTCTTCGCTCTCTGACTTGGAATGCAGACAAAAACCCTTCATGCATCCGCTGGCTTCATCCACGATCAGCAGCAGATACTTGCTGCCACCCAGAGATTTTTCTTCCATGGGTCCGCAGATGTCGAAGTGGAGCATCTCGAAGGTGTTGTAGGTGCGCTTGTCACGATTACTGGGGAATGGTTTTTGGACCATCTTCCCTTCTTGGCATCCTCGACACACACTTGATCCATTCGGCTTGGAAGGGATGTGAGCGTCCTTGATCATGTGGCTTGTCACCATCCTGCGAAGCACGTCGACTGGAGCATGGCCCATTCGCGCATGTAGATCAACAGCGTTGCTGAGTGATGTCGCATTGGCCGATCGCTGCGTCGTGCGAAGCCAGTAGAGTCCGTCTACAAGATCCGCAGCTGCCACCACTTGGTTGGAATCCTTGCGAGCGACGTACATCGTATCCCCGTCAAACACCACTTGGAAGTTGCCGTGCTTGTTAATCTGCGGCACCGAGAGCAGATTTTTGCTCATGCTGGGCACATAGAGCGCGTTCTTGATCTCGATCTCGCGCTCTTCCCCGTTTGGCAGAATCACCTTTTCCACGATGGTCCCCACACCTTTGATGGCCGCCTTGTTGCCATCAGCCACCAGGATCTCGCCATCATGGCCTTCGACCAAGCTTGCAAACTTGAACTTGTCGTGGCAGATGTGATGTGTTGCCCCGCTGTCAACGGCCCACATTCCTGGTCCATTCTTGTTCGTCGAAACTCCGCATTCGAACGAAACTGCAAACGCCACTCGATCGTAGCTGTTGCCTTCATCATAATGTCGCCACTGGACATTGTTTGCCCCGCGTCCACGACCATTGCCGCCGCGTTGGGCTCCTCGACTTTCATCCTTTTGCTTCGTCCAGCAACGCTCTGCCGTGTGCCCCACCTTGCCGCAGTATGTGCATTGGTAGGGCTTGCGCTCGGTACTGAATGCCTTTGTCGCATCTTCAGTCTTCACCGTTGTCGTTGCCGTTGTCATCTTCTCGCCTTGTCGCTTGATGTGCTCGTTAGTCAGCACCTTGACCACATCTTGCGTGCGCAGCTCTGCATTGCTCATCTCCAAGTTCAGAACCACGTTCTCGAAACTCTTCGGGAGACTGAGCAGCAAGCAGATCGCAATGTCTTCGTCTTCCATCTTGGCACCGATGCTGCTGAGCTTGGCGCCGATGTTCAAGACTTCGTTGCAATGGTGCAAGACGTTGGCACCTTCCGCCATCTTGATGCTGAACAGCTGGCGCTTGAGGTAGATGCGTCCCGCCTTCTGCGACCCACCATAGAGCATCTTCAACCGCGACCACGCTGTCCATGCTTCTTCACAGTTGTCGACCACATGGTGGTAGTCGGCGTCCATGTGGAGCAACATCAACCCGAACGCGATGTTGCTCGCCTTGACGTACTCGTCGGAAGCTCGCGTGTCGGTGAAGGTTGGAGACGTTTCGCGGTTCACGACGTACCAGACTGACTTCGTCAGAAACACGCCGCGCATGTAGCGACACCAGGTTGAGTAGTTGTCCCCATCGAACTTATCGATGGAGACACTGGCCGAGGTGTTGTTGGACGACATGGCGCTTGGGCTCATAACCTGTTGTAACTTGAGCGCGAGGCGAAGAGAAAACGAAGCGGAGAGACCGGAGAGAACGGAGCAGAGAACACTTGCTCACTTGAGGGAGGATTCGAAAGTGATTGATTTATAGGTCTTAACTTCTGCCTACCCTAGACTGCATCCAATCACATGGTGCATCTAATCAACCTGATTTACACGCGTCCAATCATCCTACGCGTCTAATCATCTCTGAGGTAATTACCGATGTAAAAACTATCTCGTAAGAACTACGCGCTAGGTTCGGATTGTACCGGTAACCCTCAATATAAACAAAAGCCCTTCGTGCATCCACTCCACTGGCTTCGTCTACGATCAGTAGCAGATATCTGCTACCACCGAGCGAATCGTTTTCCATGGGCCCACAGATGTCCAGATGAAGCAGCTCACACTTATCATAGCTGCGCTTGTCGCGGTTGCTTGGGAATGTTTTTTGGACTTTTTTCACCTTGTTGACACCCGCGGCATGCAGGTGCTCCACCCAACTTGAGAGGCACTCCCACATCTTTGATCATGTTGTTGGAGACCATCTTGCGAAGCACGTCGACTGTAGCATGACCCATTCGCGCATGTAGACCATCACAATGTTTTCACTTGTGTCACATTTGTCGATCGCTGAGTCGAAGCCAGTAAAGTCCATCCACTAGATCCGCTGAGACGAAGCCAGTAAAGTCCATCCACGAGATCCACTGTCGCCAACACTTGCTGTGAGTTCTTGAGAGTCACATACATCTTGGACCCGTCAAACACGACTTGGAGATGTCATGCCTGTTAGTCTGTGGCATTGATGCAGGTTCTTGCTCATACTTGGAACATGTAACGCGTTCTTGATCTCGATCTCGCGCTCTTCGCCGTTGGTCAGAAACACATTTTCTATGATGGTTCCAACATCCTTGATGGCCACTTTGTAGCCATCAGCCACCAATAGTTCGGCCTCATTGCGCACTACCAAACTTGCAAACTTGGTCTTTTCATGGCAAACGTGGTGCGTTGCACCACTGTCGACGGCCCACATTCCAGACACGTCCTTGCTCGTCGAAACTCCACATTCGAACGAGACTGCAAACGCCACTCGATCGTAGCCATTGCCTTCATCATGATGTCCCCACTGGACATTGTTAGCCCCGCGTCCACGACCATTGCCGCCGCGTCGGGCTCCCCGACCTTCGTTCTTCTGCTTTGTCCAGTAACGATCCACCGTGTGTCCCACCTTGCCACAATACGTGCATTGGTAGGGCTAACGCTCGGCGCTGAATGCCTTGCTTGCATCTTCAGCCTTCACCGTAGTCGCTGTTGCTGTCCCTTTTTCTCCTTGACGCTCGGCGCGCTCATTCGTCAGCACTCTCACCACATCTTGTTTACGAGGCTCGGCGCTGCTCATTTCCATGTTGAGCACCACATTTTTTTTACGTTCTAGCTCTTTAAAAGACTAAGCAGCAGACAGATTGCAACGTCTTCTTCTTCCATCTTCGCACCGATGCCGCTAAGCTTAGCGGAGACGTTGAGGACCTCGTTGCAGTGGTGCATGACGTTCGCGCCTTCATCCATCTTGGTGCTAAAACGTTGTCGCTTGAGGTAGATGCGTCCTGCCTTCTGCGATCCACCGTACAGCATCTTCAGACGTGTCCACGCAACCCACGCTTCCTCGCAGCTGTCAAGCACATGATGGTAGTCCGCGTTTATGTGCAGCAGCATCATCCCAAACGCGACGTTGCTTGCCTTGACGTAGTCATCGGACGCTCACGGGTCGGTGAAAGTCGGAGTCGCTTCACGGTTTACGACACACCATACGGACTTTGTTGTAAGTGCATGATGCACTGGATTCGACTCCAGAGATTCGACCCATGATAGGGTATGCCTAGAATGTTCTTTAGGGTTCTATGCATTATTATAGGTCGTACGGCAGCTAGACGTATGGATAGTTCTCACTTGTAGATTGACAAAGCACTGATGAGGCCCCCCGGCGGGGGGCCGAAACGCGTCTGGTGCGCGGTAATATACAAGTCATTTACTATACTTAACTCCTACTTCTTACAGACTTCGTCAAAAAACACCACGCATGTATCGACTCCAAATCGCATAGTTGTCTCAATTGAACTTATCAATGGAGACGTTGGAGGATGCGTTGGTGGCGGACGACATGGCGCTTGGGCTCATAATCTGTTGCATGGAAGAGAGCGGAGCAAAGGGAATGGAGAGGCTGAAGAGAGTAGAGCAGGAGACACTTGCTCTGTAGTTGGAAGATTCGAAAGTGATTGATTATCAGGGCTTACTACATGATTTAGATGTGCTGCACATCTAGATCATGTGAAGCGTCTCATCATCCTACGCGTCTGACCAACTATGGATAATTAACATAAGAACTACGTCGTAAACACTAAGCTGAGCAGGCGGTTCGGATTGAACTGGTCACGATTAGCATGACTGGTAGAAAACCGATGACCGTCAACACGCCCTCTCAACCCGAATGCGAGCAGATGCCTAGCGGCGCCGTTAAGTCCTTGTGGCGCGGTCCGTGGAGTTCCTTGGTCATAATGTCTGCCAACATCACCGTTGTCTCGCAGTTTCAAGCTGTACTTCACCGCGCTTGACTTCATCGCGAATGTGATGGTACTGGATATTAATGTGTTTAGCGCGGCCGTGGTTGACCCGGATGCTTGGTCGTTTTGATGTAGGACTGGTTGTCTTCGCGGATCATGAGCTCGGGTCCGTCCTCGTTAGCAGCCGCCATGATCTCGCATAGTAAGCGGTGGATCCACTTGCCTTCTTGAACCGCCAGACTTAGCGCAATGTACTCCGCTTCACTTGTAGACAGTAACACACTTGGCTGCTTCTTGCTACCCCAACTCACTGGAGCACCCAATAGCACAAAAACGTAGCCAGACGTTGACTTGCGATCAGTGAGGTCGCCGGCCCAGTCTGCGTCCGAAGAACCACGAAAGTCGATCCTTGCACGTGGCTGTAGCAAATTCCATGCATCTTAGTGCCTTGTAGGTAGCGAAAGATGCGCTTTACCGCAACCCAGTGTTCTTCTTGGGGATTCTTCATGAAGCGCGACACAAAGCTCATAGCATAGGCGATGTCCGGTCGTGTTGCAGTCGTCAGATGCATCAAAGCACGAACAGCTTCGATGAATGGAACATCGATCTTGCTCGCAGCGTTGCTTGACATCAGTCGAGAGCTGAAATCCACAGCACTCGCCACAGCCTTGCACTCATCCATGCCAAAGCGCTTGAGGATATCATCTTCATACATAACGGCGCTGACACATATTCACACTGCCATCTTCACAGTCCAAAAGCTCGATCCCAAGAACAATTGCACATTTGCCGCTGTTTGTGTTGTAACTTGAGCGCGAGGCGAAGAGAAAACGAATCGGAGAGACCGGAGAGAACGAAGCAGAGAACACTTGCTCACTTGAGGGAGGATTCGAAAGTGATTGATTTATAGGTCTTAACTTCTGCCTACCCTAGACTGCATCCAATCACATGGTGCATCTAATCAACCTGATTTACACGCGTCCAATCATCCTACGCGTCTAATCATCTCTGAGGTAATTACCGATGTAAAAACTATCTCGTAAGAACTACGCGCTAGGTTCGGATTGTACCGGTAACCCTCAATACGCCCCCTCAATCCGAACACGCACGGATGCCAAGCGCCGCCGTCAAGTCCTTGTGACGCGGTCCGTGAAGTCCCTTCGTCATGATGTCCGCCAACATCAACGTCGTCTCGCAGTATTCAAGCTTCACTTCGCCGCGCTTGACTTCATCACGGATGTGATGGTACTTGATGTCGATGTGTTTAGCGCGGCCGTGGTTGACCGGATTCTTCGTCATCTTGATGCACGACTGGTTGTCTTCACGGATGACGAGCTCGGGTCCTTCTTCGTTTGCAGCCGCCATGATCTCGCACAGCAAGCGATTGATCCACTTGCCTTCTTGGATCGCTAGGCTGAGCGCGATGTACTCCGCTTCGCTTGTAGACAGTGACACACTTGGCTGTTTCTTGCTGCCCCAACTCACCGGAGCACCCAATAGCATGAAGACGTAGCCGGACGTCGATTTGCGATCAGCAAGGTCACCGGCCCAGTCTGCATCTGAATAGCCACGAAAGTCGATCTTCGCACTTGGCTTGTAGCAGATTCCATGCATCTTGGTGCCTTGTAGGTAGCGGAAGATGCGCTTGACTGCAACCGCAGTGTTCTTCTTGGGGTTTCTCCATGAACCGTGACACAAAGCTTACAGCATAGGCGATTTCCGGTCGCGTTGCAGTCGTCAGATGCATCAAAGCACCCACTGCTTCACGGAATGGACATCCACCTTGCTTGCAGAGCTGCTCGGAACCAGTCGAGAGCTGACGTCCACCGGACTTGCCACAGCCTTGCACTCATCCATGCCAAAAGCGCTTGAGGATATCGTCGACATAACGGCGCTGACACATAGTCACGCTGCCATCTTCACCGTCCAATAACTCGATCCCAAGAACAAACGCACACTTGCCGCTGTCCGTCATCTCGAAGCGTGTCTTGAGGTCGTTCTTGGTGCGCGCAATCATCTCGAGCGAGCTTCCAGTCACCAAGACATCGTCCACGTAGACCAGCACAAAAACACAATGGCCTTCCGAAGTCATGATGTAGAGACATGGATCGAATCCCGACGCTTGAAAACCAATCCGGGCGTATGAACTCGTCGAAGGTCTCGTTCCAAACACGCGAGGCTTGCTTGAGACCGTAGATCGCCTTGATCCAGCTCGAGACAGTCAGAAATCACCTTCCATCTTGACGCCTTCTGGAACAGCGCCCAGAACACCTTCTCCTTCATCACTCCATACAGGAACGCAGTCGAAATCACCTTCCATCTTGACGCCTTCT